TTTTATATTTTATTTTATATTTTATTTTATTCATTAAACCGTTCTCATCTAAACCTATGGGTTTTCTTACCTTTTCCCTTCAATTCTCTTCCCCATCCCAGTGGCCAGCAGGGAGGTGAGGGAACAGGTGCATGGCGATTAGATGCTGGCCAAGGTTAAACCACAACAGTAATTCTTTAATAATGTTGTACATGCTGTTTTCAAAAATTCATGGAAAATGGCAAATTTTCATGGCAGTTTTAACAAAAACAAAGAAAAAATAACTTAATCAATTTCAAATGTCATCACTTGCGTTGAGGAAGAAATTAGTCTTCTAGCAATGTTTTTATGCTTTCCTGGTCATCAGTCTATCCCTGAATTGTCTTTTAGCTACTGCTCAGGTACTGTTTCTGGGTTTTTCCCTCAGTGCCATTGTGGCACGCAGAAGTAGATGTGTGTTTGGAGCAGTGCATTTGTAACAATGCGTAGGCTGGTAAATTTCCAGTTTAATTTGAGTACCAAAGTTCAACTTCAAAATGTGGGGATCATCTTTCAGCAACCAAGACAACAGTAGGCTTTGGGGTTTCCTGCTGGGCATGGGGGCTGTTCCTAGTGCTTACACTGCTGTTGCCAAATTTTCCCAGTCTTGAGGCACAGTTAAAAGCACATGCTGCTGCTTAAGTTTTTTTTCCCCACAATCAGCTTTTCTAATTCTGCCTGGATGAGCAGTTTGTAGCTTTGAAATTGTGTTTTGCAGCCAGCTACAGTTCACTGGATTTTGGTTTCTTACTTCCTACTCATCACTCATACTGTATTTTTCTGACTACGTAATTGTCAAGTTTTTGCATCATGGGCATGCCTGCTTTTGTTAGATCGTGCAGTCATACACCTGATTGCAAAACTTGATGTGCAAAAGATGTATAAAGTAGGGTACACTTAATTTATCTTCCTTGTTAAAATATAGCAACTCTGATCTCTTAAATAATGATGTAGCAAAACAAAATGTACAGGGCAGTCAAGTTGGAGTTGTTTACACGCTGTTGTTTGATATACACCCAGCATTTCATACCAAATGCTGTGTAGGTGCCGTATTTACAGTTGAGATTACACTGGAAATGAGTGTTGGGCTAATGTATTTGCACTTTCATCAACAGTGTACGCTTATCTTTAAAAGAACATTATCTCTTTGCTAAAATAGTTTCAAATGACAAAAAAATCTTGTTTTCAGACAGAAAAAAAATTGGATTTTCTCAATAAATCAGTAGTTACCTTCTGTCATCATTTATTTAACAGTGAAATGGTAGCAGCACTCTTTGTTAACAAGTATTGACAGAGCAAACAACTCAAATGCATAACACTGTCTTGCAGAACACGGCCATTAATGCCAAGCAAAAAAGTATATGGATGTAAGTTTGTGTTGGAAAATACCATACTCTTGTAAAGCAAACCGCTTACCTGTAACAAATATTTCAGAATCTTTTAATTCCATGGGTTTTGTGGGGGTGTTGCTTGTGGGGCTTTTTTTATGGGGGAAAAGGCCTCCCACGAAGACCTTGCTGCACTGAATAAATGTATGCTACCTAAAACGTTGTTTAAAGTTATATGGTGGGTCAAAACAGAGTAATTTCCTGGTAATCAAAGTGCTGTTTTCATGCAAAGAGATTACTCTTGGATGGTGAAATGTTCCGTTTTCTAGATCTTTGGACAATTTTCAGCGAAGCAGACTATCTTAATGGTCTTCAAAATGACTTTTACAGGTTTTTATTACACCTTGCTGATAAAACCGGAGGTGTTATTGTGACTAATGATAACTTCAGAGAATTTGTGACAGAATCACTTGCCTGGAGAGAAATTATTCAAAAAAGGTAATTACTCAATTTCTGAGAGGTTAAGAAGATGTAGTTGCCTACAGTTGTAGCCACTCTACCTTCATGTGGGATTTTTTAGTTTTAATTAATCTGTCTTACAATTCTGGTAGAGCCCAACAGAGTACCATGTTTGTTTCACCACTTTGATTCATGGCCTTATTATCATGTGCTGATTCATCTGATGTCGCTGTTATTCATATATTATCTAATGTATGTCTATTAATTACTCACATAAACAGGAACTTGATGTTGCAGCCCAACTATATAACTTCAAAGGTCGGTATTAGGTCCTATTAGAAAATATGCTTTGCAGTCCTTTCTCACAGGCTTTCTTGGTTTACATTTCGTTTTGTCAAGGAGATGTGGTAGCTGATGCAGGTGTACAGTGTTGCTTTTGTTTCAGAGACAATTACTCTTCCCTGTAGCACAACAAATCAGCACAGATAAACAAAAAAAAGGAACACTTGCAACATATCCCTGCAGTTGTTGTGTCCTTTAGGTTTAGATGAATTCACTTAGCTTCAAATATCCTTGCTTCAGCTTGTGGGTTCTCTGTGAATTATAGTTTATCTGTGCAACTGGTTTATTTTTTTTCGTTGTTTGTTTTGTTTTGTTTTGTTTATCCCCTCTCCAGTCAAATTAGGTCATTTTACTAGTAAGGTATGATCTTCTGTTGTCCAAATTTCCCACTAATCCCTCAGAGTCTCCCTGACCTCTTTTGAGGGTACATCTACTGCAGCTGTAACCTGATAGACTGGAAAATAGAAGAAATATTCGTATATGTGTATATTGACTAACTTTAGCTAGGAAGAAGCTGCATAAGGATAACAGGATTTTAGTTTATCTGAGGCCCACTTTGCTGACTCTGCCTTGCGAGACAGAGGCATAGATAAGAAGTTAATGAATCGCCCTACTCAGACAAGTTAGGCCTCGTGAAAACAGATGCACAGAACATTAAAGATAAGAAGACTCCGTGAAAGACACAGCTTAAGTGATCACTCCTCAGACTACTGGAAATGTCATGAATATTTATGTATAAGGTACATATAAGCTACTGCCAACCTCTACTGTTTGTGCATTCCTTTATGAAGTGATTCATGTTTGCTCCCAGTGCTGAATTAAAGAATGTCTTGCTTTCTAACTCCTACAAAATGCTCTTAGAAAGTTACTGATCCGATATTTCGGTAACACAGCGACTGGGGTCTGTATAGATCTAATGAAATAAATATTTTGAAAACTCCCTTGGATTCTCACAATATAGCTGGGAGAACATAGAATTGGGGTTGGCTATTCTTGAATGTATTCTTGAGTTGGATTTCTGGAGTGTATTCTACGCAAGTCTGGTTTTGTTCTCTTTGTTCTCTCTCTTGTTCAGGTTTTGTTTTGTACAAAACTTCAGCATGTCATTCTGAGTCTGTGGGTTTTTTTAAGAGCTTGTTAATGTCTACTATTAGTTTTACTTCTGGGGAAATTCCACTTTACCAAATTCTCGTCACAGACAAATTTTAGTTGAACTGATTTCCTTCAGTGCAGATTTCCCCCTATCCCAAAATGATTCCAGAAAAAAAAAAGCTTGTTTGTCTTAACTTAATGCTTTGTTTGCTAGTTGTACGGCTTTCTAATGTCATACTCATTTTAACTACGTGTTTGAAGATCCTTACAAGGAAGAGGAGTTTGAACAACCAGAAAATCTTCTCCAATCATCCTGAAAAATCCCCAAGTCACTCTGCAAAAATTTGCAGTCATCCAACACTTGCTGTCAAAGACAAAAAATCCCCAAACCTCAGTGTTCTGCGATGCAATGGCAACAGTTCACATAAGCTACCACTAAATTATTTTGACAGTGAATACTGGTTGTATATAAACTGGGTTGCTTGTTAAGCTTCAGTGACTCCTGATGTGAACCGCTTGCTCTAAGGCAACCTGTCCTATGCTACTGAGGTTTAACGCAGGGGGAGTGAGGGTGCAGTGCATTGTAAATAATACTGAAAAAACTCTCTTGCAGGTTGCTCCAGTACACATTTGCTGGTGACATATTTATGGTTCCTGATGATCCTTTGGGAAGAAATGGACCTAGATTAGATGACTTTCTTCGAAGTGAAGGCTATTCTAGGTACAAGCACTATTTTCACTTTTGTCTGAGACAATTACAACTTCAAATGTGAAATAAATAGTTTTTCTGGTTCGGTTGAACACTTCTTTGGATCTATATAGTAAAGGTACAGCGAAATTTTAAGCAAGAACAATGCAGGATGTAGTAGCTTAACAAAAACATGTTTTTCCTGTTACTGCAGTCTGTTCAGAAACTGGTGGTGACGCTTGCGTCTAATCAAGATTTCTTTCAGAACTAAGATAAGTAAGACAGCTTCCTCTGAGATTTGATTGTGATGGTTTTCATACAAAGGTGGTCCAAACTGTTCACACTGCACAAAGCTGCCTGTGGTTTGGGTATGTGGTAGCCCGGTATTCTGTTAATAACATTGATGTTACTTAAAACACCTTGGTTGATCGCTTATTCATAGTGGAACAATAGGTGCTATGAAAGAAACACTTCGCACTTACATTCTTTGGCATGGGAGAGGCATTTCACTTCACACTGGAGGGTACTGTACTGTTAATAAAATGATTTTTGAGAGGCATTGTTATTAAATATATCTAATCTATAATTATATCTAATTCATAATTTTAGGTATTAATAAACATGTCTTGTTCCCTTAAGATCACTGTACCTTGCGTTAACTGCCAAGACTTGAGAACTGGTTTGCTGTTTTGCACAAAAAAATAAGCTGCTCTTCTTTCACCAGCTTAGGAATTACAAATGCTAATGATAGTGAGGAGTATTGAGAGAACTTTTAGAAACAAGTGAGGTAAATAAAATTAGCAATACAAAAGGCAAGGTATACTTTAGGATTAATGCAAGGAATGTGAGCACTTAAGGATTAATGCAAGGAGTAAGTAGGAATCTCTGCTATTGAAAATAATGGAGGAAAGAGAGACTTGGATATGCCAGTAGGTCACAGGTTGATTTGAAAACAAGCATGTAATGTTGACATGCAGAAAGCAAGCGCAGTTCTAGAACTCCAATAGAAATGCTAACAAATTATTCAAGCTCTAACATAAAACCCTTACAAGATTCATTTGGAACGCTGTGTTTTAGCTGCCTGTGTCCAAGAAAAATAGTGAAAACTGAGTGTGTTCTGAGAGGTGACTGTGATGATTGTAGAAATGGAAAGAGACTCTTTTGAGAAGTCTCTAGAAGAGCTTGGTTTTCTATCTGTAAACATTGTGGCTGGAACTAGGCTTTGGTTTTTGCAGGTGTGTGATGGGGTTTTGTAAGACAGAAAAGGTGCCAGTGTAAATAGTTAATTTTGTTTCTTTTCTGAGACTTTTCTACTTGATTTAAGTGATGCAGAAAGCATAAATGGCACCAGGAATAAGATTAGAAACTAGAAGGCTCTGGAGCAATTAGAGAGCCTTTCCATGTTGAGTAGTTGGAGGTGTTGTAACCTAAGTGCTTTTAAAATGGAGCTCAGTAGTTTAGGTAGTGTTTCTTTTGGTGGCAGGAGAAAGGACTGTAACGTGAATTCCAGTTCACGTTTTTGTGTTATCTGGTGGCATGTGAAGTAGACATAGCCCTAAATTTTGTAGTGCTAGCAGTTTGGAGTAACAACTACTTTTCAAAGTCTGAAATGAAATCTCAGTAATTAAAGAAGAATATTCAGATCCTGAAATTGCTGGGAAAACTTCCTTTCCCCATTACAGATGGGAGGGAAACAAAGCCTTGATCTAGATGTGAGCACAGCTCACAATCATGAGTAAAAGTAGATAAGGAATAGTCACGTGGAGCATCTGGAAGCCCCTTTGGTCTGTGAGTATTTTCATATGTTCTGAGTCAGTGTACATGTGTTCAGTGTGTCATTTTATCCATTTAGCTCAATATGCTAATGTTGATACTTCTATAAAATAAGCTTTGACTGTTGCTCTATTCTGCCAAGTAAAGTACTCGCAGCGTAGTGGAACTAGCACTAGATAATACTGGTTATTGTTGTTAGTTATGCCACATTCAGACTGAACACTGTTACACTTACTGTTTTGTTTCACTTTGAAAAAATGCTTATAATTTCATTCCAATCAGTAACTAGCTGAGCAGCAGTGTGGTATAGGAGTTAGTTGCATTTTTCTTTCCTGTTTGTACAGACACAGCTAGCTTCTACCTTAATTTAATAAAAATTTTTATTTTGTTCCATAGAGATTTTTGGTCAGGACAAAAGGCTTCACAGAGCAGTGGACAGTATTCTTCTGAGACACCTTTCGTCATGCCAGTCCCCAAACCAAGCAGTAACAGTCAACAGCCTAAAAACAGAGTCCATGGTGATCGTTCATCAACATGGTTTCCGCTGGAAACGAACATACAGGCTTGTCTAGCGTCTCCACCACAGAGATCTGCCTCAGAAACAGTACAGCTGAGAGAAGCCCTGACTAAAATTTTTCCTGATTATGAGCAGAGACAGAAAATTGATCAAATACTAGCTCATCATCCATTCATGAGAGATCTTAATGCACTGTCTGCCATGGTGCTTGACTGAATATTATACTAAGGTTTTATATCGGAACTGATCTGACTAACTTTGTATATCAATGTGAAGAAAAATGTTGCTCTGTTATATTACTTTGTGAATATTCAGAACTTAATTTTATTTGTATAAACAAAGATATTTTTGTGTATGTTCTGTTGCTAATAGATGCCAGTTTTTGGTAAATTAAAAACTGCTGCTACTACAGATTTGTAGTAATATTTTCTATGAAAAAAAACAAATCTTCACTTGAATCGCTTATTAAAGCAGTAGCAGTTCTAAAGAACTGTTATCACTTTCAGCAGTGTTTAGCACTTTTTGCAAGCCCCTTTCCTGAAAAAGGAAAAGTTACGTCAGAGGCTTTAAAGTGACTCTTAAAGCTTCACATATATTTTTCAGATGCACGCACAACATGCTATAACATAAGCCATACAGCTGTCACACATCACTGTGGGTGTTTGTATCTAGAGTATAGATATTCTTAGAAAACCTATGCTCTCCTAATACCTCCTTCACTTAGAACTTTGAAATATTTCTCCATGGAAATAAAATAGACCCTTTTAATATTTTCAGATATGAAGACTTCTACGTAGTGTATATGTGAGCCTGCGTTCCTTAAGCCTGCATCGTGGATTTTGGAAATGGGCTGCACTCCTAAGGGTCTATGGACAGCAGTTTGCAGTCCCTGTGTGGGAGCAGTGGATGTTTGGTGTCTTGTTAAGTACTGTCACAAGGTGGCGATGTGCGTCTGTTGATTTGTAATGATCAACAGAAAGATACTCGGAAGTGCTCGTTCCTCTAGAAAGAAAGATTAAATACAAGATAGATAAGAGTAATTGTAAGATTGTTGCGGATACAATTGTATATTATATGATTAACTTAAGGATATTCAGCAGCCTTTTGGTATTATGGGCAACTAAGAAGCTTTGAACATATGTGTAAAGTCTTACTGCCCATGGAACAAAAACAAACCAAGAAAATTAATTTGCCTGTTCACCCAGGTTGAGAGATACTGTGGTGGAGTAGTTGGGAGAGGGAAGTTTTCAGTTAGAAAGTGGAAATTCACAGCTCTCCTCAATAGAAGGTATTTGCAATGCTGTGATAATTGGAAGTTCTTTTGACTGTCAATACTACTTCAGAATTTTGGCATCTTTAACAATCTGCACTGTTACCTGTTTGTCTTTGCCCTGCCTAAATCTGAATGCTGTGATAAGCTATCAACAGAATGTGATACTGTTTAATATAGAAATGGCATGCTGTCTTGTGCAGAGCTAATATGCTGCAGTGAACAGTCAGCTCCACCCCTTTAAATCTCTTCTGGGATTTGTCCCAAAAGTAGGGTGGAAAAAAAGAAGATAGTTTATGAAAGCTGACAGTAGGAGCCCATGTTGAGCCCATGTTGAACTTCTGACATACTGAGACTTACCCTGACGTGTAAGTACAGTGGCTTTCTCTCTAGTTCCTTGCTTAAATGCAAAAGAGCTGAAATATACTGAGGAAATGAGGGTGTTAAAAGTCTGTCTTCTTGCATGGCCCTTTCACACGTATTGTGAAGTCAGAAGGTGAAGTGTTGCTCTTCACTCACCAGCACGTGTTTGCCAAGGAGCAGTGCAGTTCTGTCCCCATACAAACCTGTGTGGGTTCCTAAAGCCTGTTGTCAATGACTGGAGTTGGTATCAGTTTAATAAGTTGTAAGGGAATAAATTATGACCAATGAGGGGCTTTTCCTTAACTAGGGATAGGACCCTAATTAGGACAGTCGCAATGAATAGGATAATTCTGCTTAGTTGTATGCTGGAGTGAGACACAGCAACTTCGGGTCAGCTTCTTAATTCCTAATAAGCTCTCGGGCAAATCAAGGAAATGAGCCAAGAGCAATGCAAACTATACCATGTCTCTTTTGCATCTTAGTATACTCAACTGAAACCAACTGTGCACAAGAAGCCTAGCTTGAGAACAGACTTGACACATTCATTAATTTTGATGGCAGAAGATTATTGCTGGATGTTAAAGCAAGCTGTTACAGCTGAAGTTAATGTAAAATGATACCAAGTGAGGCCAAAGGTTCTTTGTTTTCTATTTTCCTTTTTTTTTAGGTTCTGTTCTCTTCAGTTTTGAGTTTTAAACACTGCAACTCTGTTAATAGGATGACAAATATAACCAGGATAGTCTGAATTTTCCTTGAGGAACATGGGTGGAGCTGTTGCAATGCTGTGCCGTATGGTAAAGGAACACCCAGGGTGGCATCTCAACTACACTTAGGACAAAACCATCAGTGTCTTTCAGTTTTGTTTTCACTTGTTCTCCATTAGCCTACTTACTGTAAGTACGGCTGTTCATAAAATCCATAAACCAGAGCACAACAGAACTAGCACTGCATGAAACAACAACCGAGAAAGCTTTCTTAGACCCAACAGAACAAGTCTTGTGTTTGTTCTGTGGGTTTTTTCAATAGCTGAGATAATATGCTGCTTTTTTTTTTTTGCAAGGAAGTTGGTCTGTGATTCTCCTTTATCAACTGTACAAAGTGTACAGTGTACAGAGTGTACTGACGAAAGGTCAAGTCTCAGTCTGAATGTAGCCAGAATGTTCCTGATCCCTAGAATAAACTAATTTTTTGTCAGAGGGTATGTATCTAATACCCTGAAATGAGAAGAAAATTTATTTCTTTGACCTTGCTTAGAACTTCCCTGTTGTCTAGGATAAGATATTTGTAATTCCAGGTAGATAAAACTACTTTTACCTGAACAGACCAGCCCTGAATTTGCCCGTGATAGTAAAAAAGTGCCAAGACCTTGCAATAAGCAACAAAAAAAACCCCAAATCCTAGATGTATGTTTAATTTAGTTCTGTGCTAAGACAATAAAATAGAGTCACTTGAGTGCATTCAAGTAATTGTCTGTGTGATAACGAATGTGTGACGGTGGTTCAGTTCTGCTGGTATCCTTGTGTAGCAAGCAGTGCAGTTCAGGTATCCAGGGCGCTGTGGATTTGTCAGTTTGTTACCAGCAGGATCCAGCTCTAAGCAACAGTCTTGGAGCTCTCTATACTGTTTTCTGCATTGCTCCTGATCCCAGTAGCTCACACATTATTGGGTTCTGTGATGACAAAAGCATATGGTGAGTGTCATGGTTTTGCAAGCAAGTCCTGCAGTGATGGTGAGAATGAACTTGTCGTTCCTGCTGGACCTGAACTAATGCCATGAAAGGTCTTCATACTGTGTTTCTCAGCATGTCCTGTAATTTAGGTTTTCTTTTCCTACCAGTGTTAATACCTTGTGTGTTACAGGTGCTTTTTCCAATCATTTTGGAAGACAGAGTTGACTGAGCCTTAGAGAAATGCACATCAGTTTAAAAATATGAAATATACTGTTGTATTTATTGCAAATTACTATTTCCTAATGCTAACTTGTATGAAGAAAAAAAATACGAAAAATTGTCCAAACACTGTGATATGTGAGAAAGTTGTTCCTCTCTGGAAAAAGTTAAGTTGGAAACTAATATGCATACATAAAAAATCTCCAGGAAGAGACTGACAGAAGTGAAGAAGTTTTCTGCACGCAGTCGCGTGGGAGCATTACACATGTCCGTTCACAAGTTTGGTGAGGAAATGGAGCGCCTGTGGGGGCAGGCACCCTGCTGAGTACATGACAAGGGCCTGCACATTCCTTTTACCTATGAATAAATACTGATTGGTGATAAACTAACAACATAATTGTAAATTGCCTTTTTATAAGTACAGAAAATGAGCATGCAGAGGAGAGGGTCACTTTGTAGTGCAAATATTACCTAATTCCCATTCTGTTTACAGACAGATATGAGACACTGTCTAGGTTTTAATGGGTGGAAAACATGGAAGAACTGGGCTTTGACATGAAGAACTACAGAATTGCCAAGGAGAGTATTTGACAAGTATCTTTTTTCTCATCAAGCAAAATGTTTCACGCAAAAGGCCAGCATAATCATTTCCATTTTTCAAAGAAAGATATTGAGGCAGAAGAAAGAACCAACATGCCTAAAACTACTCAGTATGGCAGATGGAAGTGGTGACCAAGCTCCCAAGCCTCACCATGGCAACAAGCTCCTTGATTAATCCCTCCTCATCTCACTAGGACATCTGTCCTGCCTAGGCAGATGTACAGGGCTGATGAGAAGGTGGCTCCAGCAGCATCTACCCTGCAAGCAGCAGCATGACAGTCCTGCTGCTGTGGAAATGAGACCTTGGAGGGTGCCCATCTTGTTTTACCTCAGGTAAGCTGTGGCAGGGAGGGAGGGAAAGGGCTGTGAGGACACAGGAAGGCTGAGAAGGTGGCTGTGACTGACATGGGGCTTTAGGGAAGGCTTTGGGCTTGTATTGGCAGCCTGTGCTGGTTTTCACAGAATCACAGAATGTTAGGAGTTGGAAGGGACTTCGAAAGATCATCTAGTTTTCTGTACCTTGGCTCGATTTCACAGCTGAAGTGGGAAGGTTGAGAGGGAACAACTGGGAGATACTGAGGGGAGAGAGGGATGGTGGAGCACAGGCCAAACCCCTGCTCGTTGGCAAACCGTGTGGCCATGGCAAAGCCCTCAGCTGGGTACAGGGCAGCCCTGCAGAAGCTATGTGTTTTAGAGGAGTTTACATCGTGCTGCTCCATCTGCACAGCTGGGCTTGATGCAATATAATGTCAATGTTAAACAGAGATGGCAAGCTGCAGGTAGCTTGCTGTGCTGAACGGTCCTCATACAAAGTGAGCGGTGTCAGAAGGGCCCAGACTGTACTTCTGGTTTCAAACAATTGCTAAAAGATGCAATCAAATGTGTTTACTGTTAGAGCTGTGATTTAATGGTGCAAATGCTGTGTAAATACTGTAGCTATCTGTGGTAAAGGAGTCTTTTTCTTTCTTCAGTCTTTCTACCTCAGTATAAAGTACCTCAGTATGAAGAGGAAGCCTTGCTTCCTCTTCATAAGAACTGATTTGCTGCAGCTGATGGCTGGTGATTTTAGGAGTTTGTTTTTCTTGTCCTGAATGACTGAGCTACACCTGAAATGCACTGGGTATTATGTTCTTAGCTAAAATATTCATGCTTGGACTTAATCAGGAATAGATGAATCACTTTAAAGTCACACAGTTACTTAATCAGGCAAAGATAGAACCCCAGTGTGATTTTTGGACTTTCATTGTTCTTGGTTTTAAAGGGAAATGGTCTTTTCTCTTTGCACTTGGT